TGTGTGTGTGTGTGTGTGTGTGTGTGTGTGTGTGTGTGTGTGTGTGTGTGTGTGTGTGTGTGTGTGTGAGATACAGGCATGATGCTCTTCCTTTTTAGCCCGAGGCTATATAATAATTACAGTCACCATTAGCCTTTCCTAAATCCAGGCAGATGCATGTCTTTCAGGAGGAGTAGCTCTCTCAAGAGTAAGGTATCTTTTTTTTTTAGTGAAACTATGCTGAGACACGCAGAAAAGACTGAAACCAGTGTTTCCCCTACCATTATACAGGCGGGGCAGGCCCCCCCTCCAACGAGACAGCCTGCCCCTCTAAGAATTTCAAGGCATGTAGTCATTTTTATTTAAATAAGGCCAGATCAAGTCCAGAGCTATTTTTTGCGCCCCTCCATATCCACCTCTCACCAAACTTGGGGAAAAACACGGCGCAGAGCGAGGCTGAGCGCTGTGTGTGGTCCTCACAAAGATAGGAAGAAGTGTGTGCGTGCGCGCGCGATGAAAACTCWGCTTTTAATCACGTTGCACCGATGTGACTGCTTTGCAAGCTACTTTTTCTTTCTTTAAAATAAAATGCAACAGGTGAAGCCACAGCATGGTTACCTTATCAATACTTTAGAATCGCCAACACAGACCCCGCGTGCGACCAGGTTCCCACAAGTCCGTTCATGTTCTATAAATAGTGCTCTGTAATGTCCCTCAACTTTGAAAAAGTAACCAGAGTAGTTTGTAAACTCAAATCCAGACAGAATCAGCTGCTGTACAGGTCCCGCTGGACTCAAACATCGAGCTGAGCTCCTCTCCTCTCCTCTGTCTCACACTGCAGGTCAGACAGTCCCGTTCAGGAGCATTAACCCTTAAGGGCCCAGATAATATTCGGTCTTTAAAATGTGGTAAATAAATTATTTTCAGTGACTGAGAGGAAGTGTTTTTGATAGTTGCATAATTGCATTTTCTAAATGTTATCCTTTATATCTAAAAAAGAGTTCTAATTCTTAGAAAGGACRGGATTTGAGGTTTTTACTGATAATATTTTATTCAAAACATGTTACAGAAGTCATAAGAAGCAGGTTTATTTT